AGTACGTTGTAGCAGATGTATCATTGTTTACAGTGATCACTGTCAGAAGTTATTGGTTTTATGAGACTGAAACTATCCAAGGACATGCAGTACTGTCAGTTTGATCATACCTCACGGGGTTGTGGAATTACAATATTTATGGGTCACCTAATATGTGGCAGGCTCTCAGGAGAAAAGAAAAGTCCTTACCCTCCCAGAATTCCTTCAGATCCCACAGGTTGAGGGCTCAGGTCCCAAGACAGCCCCTCCCCCCACTTCAGATGCCAATCACAAGCCCAGGCTTCTGGAACTTCTGACTGACGAGCTATAAATCAGGATTCCCACAACTCCCTCCTGGGGTTCGATTAGTTTGCTACAGCAGCTCACTGAACTCAGGGAAACTCTTAACGCTTGCCAGTTTATTGCAAAGGATACTTTAAAATATACAAATAAACAGCCGTATGAAGAGATATATAGGGTGAGGTCTGGAAGGGTCCCAAACACAGGAGCTTCTGTTTCCATGGAGTTGGGGTATGCCACCTTGCCAGCATGTGATGAATTCAGCTGTCCAGAAACTTCACAAACCCTGTGTTCTTGGGTTTTTATGGAAGCTTCATTATGTAGGCATGACTGAAGCGTGGACAGCCATGTGAAAGTCTGATTGGACAAAAAGTGTATAATCTAACACTAATAGACTAGGTGGGAAAACTCAGCAAGGCCTGTTTGTTCAGATTCTTCTGGACCTCTCTGTGCAGCATTCCTTCATCACAGTTATGGGGCAAGACCCCTTCTCAAACAGGGATCTTAGGACCTACAATCAGGTAAGGTAGGTTAGAGAATTTCTTTAGGGCGCTCCAAGACAAAGGCAGGGGAAGGTTAGAACAAGCCAGGAACTGTGGATGAAGACCAAAATGTACATATCCTAATATCATAGGGTGATAATTTCATAATCTTGTTGGTCCCAGCATTCTGGTTGCATTAAACTGAGGTTAACTTGTGCAAAATAATAATTGTGAAATCATAATTTGATAAGATATTAAGGTCATTTAGGAATGCTGTGACATTTATCCAGTGGTCCGTCACTGATTCAAAATGACTTGCAGTCATTATAATGCAGCCAGTCATGCTGAATTTGACAGCAGTTCTCCATTTAGATTTGTGAGATGTCATGTTTAATGGATAAATTGGCAAGTATGAATTTTTCTCTTTTTCCTGAAGGATGAAGGCTTAGCCTCTGCTTCTGGATCTGTGTACCTGCCATGGGGTGATGGAAGTGCTGGAGGCTCTGTTTCCACCACTCTCTTTGCCACACTTCTAGACCCATCATGTGTGCACCCATGGTGTTCACAGATCTTTCTCTGTGTACCTGCCATGGGGTGATGGAAGTGCTGGAGGCTCTGTTTCCACCACTCTCTTTGCCGCACTTCTAGACCCATCATGTGCACCCATGGTGTTCACAGATCTTTCCAAGAGCCAAGCTGCCTTCTCCTTGCCCTTGGTTCCTAACTGAGTGGTGAAACCTGACCTGGTATTATTTGTTCACTCAGCAATGATTACTGAATATCCGTGGTGCAGATAGGGGCAAGACCGAGACATGGGGGCAGCATACGTGGGCTAATCACTTGTTACTCTGGGCAGCCTAAGGACTTGATGCCGTTTCAGACGATTGTTCTTTAAGTATTTGCTCACAACAGTTTTAAGAGGAGAAGCCAAGCACTGTATGAAACAGTAGCAAAAGAGCCCCTCCAGATCTCCCTTTTACCAGTTCCCTGAATCTGAATTGATCAGAAGGAAATAACAGTCAGATTCCTAATCTTTCCTTTCAACCACATTCAATACTCTCTCTGAGAATAGTGCTGGTAGATAATATTTTTGTTTAATCTAGTTAAATTTCCAGAGATGTTTTAAACACCCCACTGTTGAATCAATATGTGGCAGCTGCCATAGAATTCAGAACCTTAATCTAGCCGAAAGGAGACACTATGATAGATCCCCAGGATAAGGATATATATGAGACTGTCCCCTAGCTTAACACATACTATAAAACAGCTTTTTTTTTTTTTTTTGACTGGTAAGGGGATTGCAACCCTCAGCACAGTGTGGTCTGCACCATGCTCAGCCAGTGAGCGCACCGGCCATCCCTATATAGGAACCGAACCCGCGGCCTCAGCGCTACCAGCGCCGCACTCTACCGAGTGAGCCACGGGGCTGGCCCTATAAAACAGTTTAAGAGAAATGTGAGTCATAGTGTTTTGGTAATGAGGGAATTCAAAAATTAAAATTTTGGCTAACTTGTAAGATGTCTTTGTAACTAAATGTGCTTATCTCCCAGGGCCCCCAGAACTCAGCCTAGCTAATAATCAACTGCTGGCAGGCATTTCTGCTTCTGTAATCTTGCTAGCCTGCCCCTCTTGCCTTTCTCATTTTGCTTGTTTACCTAAGTCACATGGGCAAAAAGGAACTAAAACCAACAGCTGTTTGTCTAAAATTATATTTAAACTTAAGCCTATGGCCTATAAAAACCCTGTCAAACTCGTGTACAGGGTCCCAGGATCTTAGGACGTGAGTCCACCTGGGTCCCGCTAGTGTTCCTGTCCAACTAGCATAATAAACTTCCTGACTCATCATCTCTCTGAGTGACTGGAATTGTTTCCTCGCCGAGTTCTTTCCACAACACTGGGAACACAGATGAAGGTGCAGTGAATTCAGCCTGTGGCAGTTAGGATGGCTCATGGAGGGGATCCCCACAGTGGGACAGATGATGATCTGGAATGTTCTTCTTTTAAGCCCACTTATTATTAATAGTTTTGAACTTTTCAGATTGATGAAATAGGATATGTTAAGTTTACATAACCTAAACTCTTAAATCTATAGAATTGTACAAAGCAGGGTGAATGAATATGATATTGCACTGATTCCTGCTATAGTTGACTTGCAAAGTGAGGTGCTAGGACTGTGCATTTACCCAATACAGGTTCTTTGACCAGAGATTCTTGACTTCTTGCTGGATCTTTCCTCTTAAGATTTTATTTATCACTAAAAGACAAATTTACCCAAATGGAAAACCATTCTCAAATTCCAAAATTGTATAGTAGTTCTTTACTACAGAGGAGTTTATTGCCAATCTCCACTATCTTTACTGATCAGAAAGAAATAAGAGCACCCAGACTTACCCACTTTCAAAGTAAAAGCCTTGGGTTCTTTTTCTATCAGAAAGCCAATTGTCACCTATCGTTCCTTAAGAGTATTTCCTTATATGTCCATCACTGGAAACCTTTTGAATGGAGCTCTTGTTTGAGAAAGAAGAGAATTCTCAGCATTATGCATATCTCCAAACCTTTCAGAATACATTTTTAGGTTATCTTGGAACTGACTTTTTAAGTGAAAATGCACATATCTGTGTCCTGCTTCTGGGGAGAGAAAATGTTCTTGGGGGAGTAGGTAAAAGCTAGTTTCGTTACACTCATTAAGCAGCAGGGTCTGTCAGAATTGTTGTGACAGTCTTTGTTTTCTTTTTATCCTGCTTAATATGGACTATTTATTCTAAGAAGGATTGCCATTTAGTATTTCTCATTTCATTCGTCCAACGTGGTACTTTTGTGTTCTGAGGAGGAAGAAAGGTGAGAATTTTTGCTACAGTTTCTAAAATTAATTCGAATGATTCAGTTTTAGCCTGGATGAAGAAACTGAGCTACATTTTGTGCCTTCTTTTATTCGACAGCAGAGGCTTCACCCTGAGATGACAAATTGTCATTATGAGAGAGCTTTCATTAAGTTCTACATTTATATCTTCTTAGCAAAATATTCCTCTGGTTTAGGTAAATGTTAAATAGAAAAGAGGAATAAAACTCATTCATAAGTGTGCTAGGAAATACTCAACCCAACTCGGAGAAATGCCAAACACAGCAACAATAAGATAATTTTTCTGTATGGAATTAGCAAAGTCTTGTTTGTTTAATGATTTTTAAATCTGTTGAGGGTGCTACTCATATACTGTTTATAGGAAAGAAAATTAGTATATTCAATTTTTTTTTTCTTTCCCTTTTTGTCTTTTTTACTGACCGGTAACGGGATCACAACCCTTGGTGTCGCGCCCGTACCGGGGACCGGCAACGGGATCGCAACCCTCGGTGTTGCGCCTGCACCGCGCTCAGCTAGTGAGCAGGAACCGGTCTCCACATGGGATCCAAACCCTCAGTGGGAGCACTACCGCGCTCCGAAGCGGCGCACTCTCCAGTGCACCACCGGGCCGGCCCCATTGGGGAAATAATTAAATGTTATGTATCAGAGGCCTTAAAGTGTTCATGCTCTTTCACCCAGTACTCTCATTTTTGGAAGTCTATGCAAAAGAATCATATGAACGAAATACAGAGATGTTCACAGCATTATTAGTAATAACAAAGGAAAATCTAAGAGTCAACAGGGGAATGGGTTTGTAAACTATGACATATTCATGAACTACTATGCTTCCTTTAAAAACAGTGTTTAAACAAACTATACCAACATCAAGAAAGCCTATGATATATAATAAGAAGCAAAAGTAGATCTTAAATTGCACCTTCCAATTTTACAATGGTGTAATTGTGACAAACTAGCAGGTCAGCCAAAAAAAAAATTAGAAACAGGTTGGAGAAAACTATCCCAGATATCAAGTGTTTTCCCAATTTAAGTGACATAGATATTTTTTTTTATCTTTTATTTATAAAATCAGTAGTGCCTCAGAGATAGTTTACCTCATTCTCCATTAAAAATTTAATGTTCATATTTCGTGCCTTGTATAGATTACCATGGTGATGAGATTAAGTGTATAACTTGGGACAGTGATTTATTTCTCTCCCCAGGTATTAGTTAACACCTTCTGTGAGAGGTCAGAAGGTGAGCTCTTTAACAGCTTAGCTTTTTTAAAAAAGTTATCTTTTGTATGTTTTGTAAAATTATCATATATATTGGAAGTTTTAGGTCCACATAAGTGGATAAATTATCTTACAGTCCTGTGATATGTAAAATATAACAATATGTTTATGATTTCTCTTTAGGAATTTTTCAAATCAAAACTAATTGCAGGATTTCCAGTTGACCAGCACTCATAGGGTAAGATTAACATTCTGAATTGTGAACACATGGTAAAGATAATTGCAATTAAATTTGTAGCTTAGGGCAAATAAATACTGATACTTAGTATGTAAAAAGAAATTATTTTTCTTACAGATGTTTTGAGTAAAATCCTTTTGATGTTTTTTAAACCAGTTAATAAACAGAAAATTAAATCTTACACATTATAGTAGAAATGTCATCTTCCTGTTTTTTTGTGGGGTTTTGTTAGCAAAGTATATGTGTATGTATGTCTAATATTTGTCATTTTTTTTTAGCATATAAGAATATAATAAATGTCTACAAGAGACTTAGAGTCTATGTCTGTATTTTCCTGATTTTTGTTTAAGGTAACATTTTTTATGCATGGAATCAGTTTGCCAAGTTTCTGTAAGTAAAGGATGGTCTTACCTTCTTGAGTAGGCAAGTCAGAAATGAACAAGCCCTGTCCTCTCTTGCTTCCTGCAAATATCGTTCTTCTTTTATAATTGTGGAAGATTTAATCCTAAGTTAGCGCTGTGGCAGAGCTTTTGACTCTGACATAATGAATGCTGAATGTGTACACTGTATTAAATAGGACAGCTGTCTGGTGTTGTGGATACAGCATATGTCTTGAAAGTGTCACCCAGCTCTGAACACATAGTTCAGGTGAATCAGTGGTGAGAGCAGTAGATCTGTCACCTACTGCCTTCTGAACACCCTTCTTTTTACAGATGAAAGTGAAGCTGCTTTGACTTCTTGGGTATATATCCACATTTCCATGCTGATTCATTGAGTTGACTGAATTTTCAAAGCAGATTTTGCCACTACTTTATTTATGACCCTACGGTGGCTTTTTCATCACTCCTGGACTATTTATTATCAAAATGCTTTACTTTGGCTGCAGGTCCTCTGTCACTCTTTCATTTTCCCCAGGTTCCTGACATTCCAGCCAGAGTGGCCTCCCACATCCTAAGCTTGCTACAACTTCTGCCTGGAATGATCTTCCCCAGCACTGTCCTGTGTCTGAGTCCATTTTAGATCTCTGTTATAATGGTAGCCCCTCTAAAGAGGCCTTCCCTGACTTTATATTCTTCATATTATTTCTTTTTTTTTTTTTTTTGTCCTTTTTGAGACCGGCCGCACCGAACTCAGCCAGTGAGCGCTGTGAGCGCACCGGTCATCCCTATATAGGACCCGAACCCGCGGCGGGAGCGCTACTGCGCTCCCAGCACCGCACTCTCCCGAGTGCGCCACGGGCTCGGCCCTTCTCATTATTTCTGATCTTACCATGTTCAATACTTGCTTATTGTCTCTCTTCTCTCACTACACAGTCAAATCCACAGGAGCAAAAATCTTGTTTATCTCACACACCTGTATTTCCTAACACAACTCCTCCTGGCATGTAGTAGGCATGCTAAATATTTGTCGCCTGAACAGACTAAAATCCTGACCTCTATTTGACAAATGCTGCTGTTTGGTAATGTTTCACCACTGTCTTTGGCCATTTTGTTTGTATAGAACGAAATGAAGTATTTGTTAGGTTTAGCCCATCATCTCCCTCATTTGGGCCGTGAAAAGACAGTGTATAGCTCTTTTAATAGTTGACAGCTCTTTTTGATGTTACAGCACTATATTGCTTGCAAGCAAGGAGAGCACTGGGAGAAAAGACTCCTAGATCAGTGTCTCCCAGAACAAAGGAAAAGACCCCCTTATACAGCCTAAATTCCCACCCTTTTCCCTCCCAGGTTCCCATTCAGGGCCTCTTTTGTAAATGAGGGATGCTGTCCTGCTAATTTGGATTGGCTGATTGTGGGGCACAGTCTGTTGGTCACTTTAGGAGCCTAATCTGCCTCTGGCCCCTGGGGGAGGGGTGTGAGACTGCTGTTATCTCATAGAGGGCGGGCCCAAGAAGCAAGCAGGGTAAATGGCAGGGGCCTGAGTCTACAGTGGAGCATGGAGTGTCTAAAACAGTTTCTCAAGTGGAAAAGGGAAAGCTTAACAATTAGAAAATGCTTAGGGTTCCCTGCAACAAAGCAAACAGACAGGTGATCTCTGCTACCTACCTGTCATTGGAAAGGAGTGTGTGTGACTCACAAGAGACTGCATAGGGACTGGCTTTGGCTCTGCTTCATTATGGCTTGCTTATTGTGGTGGGTGGGGAGGGGGGTTGGGGATATTTTTATAAACAATGAAAGGTGTAGGAGAAGGACCTCAGGTTGCCTTTCATGTACTTCTTCTCTCTAAGATTTATTTAGCCACTGCTTGGATATAAGTATTCTAATTCCAAAAACGTAGTTGTTTCCTTTATCCTTAAACAAAATTAGTCCCTACTATGTTTTTACTTGATCACATAATTGCAATTATATGTATATGGATATGCATATACATGTATATACACTTGTGAGTGATTAATTGCCTCATTTAAAAAGCATATGATAATCAAATTAAAAATAAAGGGTTTGGGGCCGGCCCGGTGGCGCACTTGGTAGAGTGCGGCGCTTGGGAGTGCGGCGGCGCTCCCGCCAAGGGTTCAGATCCCATATAGAGACCGCTGCTCACTGGTTGAGCGCGGTGCGGGCGTAATACCGAGGGTTGCAATCCCGTTGCTGGTCGCGGTACGGGCGCGACACCGAGGGTTGCGATCCCGTTACGGTCACAAAAAAAGACAAAAAGGGAAAAAAAAAAAAAATAAATAAATAAATAATAAAGGGTTTGTTAACATCTAAAAATTTGGTTTTTATTTCAGATGTACTAGATTAATTGCTGGGCTTATACTATTAGGACACTAAATATTGTGGATCACACTTTCTAGTCAAATTAGAAACTTCCACAAACAGATTTTTACAACCATTCTTGGAGCATCTGAATAGCGGATCACAAAAATCTGCCAAATTGTGTACATCCCTCCATCATAATGAAATCTCAATTGTAAACTAACTTCAACTTCAAAAAAGCTAACAATCATTAGCTTTTCAAAAGCTAATAATCATGCACTATCTTAAAATTTAGGGGTGAAATGTTGGCTCTAACCACCAAAAGTATAATACTTATTTACATTCCTATTAATTATTGTATTAATATAAATACCCCATTGCACAGGTGGGGAAATTGAGGCACAAAAGATTGTAGGATTTTTTTAAGATTTGTCTAAGGTTAGGCAGGAAAACCAAGGTCAAAGCTACAGCAGAACTATAGCGGCTAGTCACCTATAGGGTATAATGGATTCAAACTTTGCATTAAATGTTTTATTTAACTCTCCTGTTTGCATCACGCCTTCTATCTTAGTCTAACCTCTTGCAAACCCTTTAAAGCATGAACTTGGCAAATGCCACTTAACCTGCCTTCTCTGACCAGGTGAAAAAGGCTCACCAATGCTTGTGTAAGAAAAGAATACCACATGTTGTATTATATGTAATTAACAATGTTCAATTATAGCACTTTGATACACTTTTCAAAAAAAAATCTCAAAAACTTACAAAGGTAAACATAAGCATGTGGCTTTTTATATTATACCAAATGAGAAACAGTAAATGGATAAAGTGTAACCACTATAACTTCTTGACCAGCTTTATATCTTGAAGCAATGTATCTGCCCCTAACAGCTACTAATTACAATTCTACAGGGTATTTTTCAGCAAGACAAGCTTGTACAATGACCCTTTCAAAACATTCCAGACCATTTCCATTTCTTGAATCATAATATTGCACTTTTCTACTTTCCTTCTTTTTATTTATTGAAACATAATTGACTGTACATATCTGTGGGGTACAGCATTGAATATCAGTACCTGTGTGCAATGCTTAAACCAGGATAATTAGTATACTCAACATTACACAATGTAATCAGTTTTTGTGGCCCTTTACCTAACCTCTCTCTAACCTCCCTCCATCTCCCTCTTTCCCACCTCTGGTGGCCTCAGTTCTGTTGACTCCTTTTTGCAAGTTAAATGACTTATTATGATTGTTGTATCCTTCTTTCTTTCTTTGTCTATTGTTTTTTAGCTCCCAGTTATGAGGACATGTGGTAATTCTCTTTCTGTGCGTGGCTTATTTCACTTAACATAATTTTCTTAAGTTCATCCATGTTGCTGTGAATGGCAGAATTTCATTCTTTTTTGTTTTTTAAATTGTTCCCTTCTTGTACAGATGAAACCAGTCCTTCTAGTGACAGTCACACAACACTGTTTGCTCCTAGATATTGTGCAAGATGATCAGTTCTGATTTATTGGCAATAAGCTCTTCTTTTGTGAGAATGTTTTCTCATGAAGTGTTTCAACAACAAAGGGCTGATAATTTTCTAATTCACACTTTCTTGTAGTGGCAACACCTTGTGTGTCCAATTCCAGGATTTGAAACATATAATTTCTTCAAATTGTCATCAGTAAAGATGTGATTTACAAGACCCATTTTCTTGTATGTTTTTAGTGTTGGCACTGAACTCCCATCACTGGTTAGGATACCAGCACTCTCTTGACCCTGATGTTGTAGTCCCACAAGTCTCAGAGCGATCACATGTGGAACATCTAGTTGCATGGGCCACTCTCCTGAGATGATGCACCCAAACACGCCACATTCCACTTAGGTCCCCAACTCCTTCAGCTCCATGTTACTGCCAAAAGCACATAGAGGGACCTGCTACTATAGCCCAGGTCCAAGCACCAGTCATCTGCCAGCTAGCCCTCGCAACCGCCTCTTCATAGTGGCTCAACCCCAGCTGCAGTGGTGACACATGCATCTCAATCTAGAATTTTCTAGGGTCGTAAATAGAACTGTTTCTCATTCCCAGCTTCTCTACCCAGTAAAAGATACAAAAAGAAAGAAATGGCCTCAGGTCCAAAGATCAGATCCAGAGCAGTTCTGCCAGTAAAACTTGGTATCAAGGTAAAAGTAAAAACAAGGGTGCAGCTGTAGGACTCTGTATAAAACTTCAAAAAGATTTAAGGCCAGTGTCTCCTAGCTCCTGTCAGGTAGGTGGAAGGGCTTCTAAGAATATCAAGGGTGTTGTCCCACAGTATCCCAGACCTGATTTAGATGACAAGATCCTGGACTTCAAGCCTGAATTTGATGACATAGTGGCTTTTGGGTGGCTTCAGAGACGGTTAGAGCACTTTGCATGTAGAAAGATTGTAAATCACTTGTAGCCAGAGAGTAGACTGTGGTGGATCAGGCATGGCTGCAAAATCTTTGCCACTCCTCCCATTAAAAGGTGATGTCTGCTTGCTCCCCCTTTGAATCTGGGCTGGACCTGTGACTCCTCTGACAAATAGATTTTGGCAGATGTGGTGCAATGTAGCTTCAAGGGCCGTGCCTTAGAAGATCTGCAGCTTTCATTTCTGTGCTTGGAATGCATAGTTTTAGAATCCAGCCACCGTGCTATGTGAGGACCCTCAACGAGCCACATGGAGGCTCACATGAAGGAGTTTCCAGCCAGCAGTGAGCATTATCTGCCAGCCTAGTGAGTGAGGACATTTTGGACCTTCCAGCCATCTTTGTGCCAACCAACACCATGAAGTAAAAGAACCTCAACAGAGTCTCGAAAAATAAAACCTTATTTTTTTTTAAGCCATTAAGATTTGGAACACGCAGAATAGTTAGCTAAAATCCTTCCATCTATATGCTGCTAAGTTCTAGCCTCTTCTGGAAAGGCACTGTCACCTTTAGTACACCCTGCCTAAACATCTGAATGTTTCTTTCTGCCTTTTGCATTTTTGTACATTCAGTTATTTATTGTGTAAATGTTTATTGTGCACCATGTGCTAGAAACTGTGTAAGATGCTATAATAGCATGGGTTCAAAATTCGAATCCGTCTGACTCCTGCTTCTCTATGGACCTCTGTATCTGATGTTGTGGTATCGAATTTTAATTTACAGAGACTATTTTATTCTTTGGTTTCTTCTCAAACATATTGTAAAATTTGCCCTTATTATGTCTCACTCACGTGAGTGAAATAGCCTTTCAGCTAGCCCCCTTGTTTCTAATCCCTCCTACTTCAATCTGTCCTGCAAATCTCTATAGCTCAGGGACTCACTGTTCTCTGCCTCACACACCTGAGTCTCTGAAAGGTTCTTGTAGGAGGAGATGGTGGCTGTTACTTTGTAGTCTTTGGAGAGGAAGGAGCATCCTAGACTGTCCAGTGCAATGTCCAAGAAGAGTTAAAAGATAGGCACTTTTTCCAGATAGTTTATTGCCTATCTGTCTTGTGAGCTTTCTCCTCTTAGGGAGATTTGGGGAAAAAAAAAAAAAAAAAAAATCTGGCCTCACCTTGATCAATTGAATTGCTTTGTGGGAGTGGGGCCTGGGTTTAGGTTTCTTTGAAACATGCCCCAGCTGGTTCTAATGTGAAGCCAAGGTTGAGAACTGCTATCTCAGATTTGTAATTCTCAAAAAGTGGTCCCTGGACCAGCAGCATCAACATTAACTAGGAATTTGTTAGAAATGTGCAGACATAATGACTCAGGAACTCTGAGTGTGGGACCTGTTACTTTGTGTTTTAATAAGCTCTCAGTGATTTTTATAAACATTAATATTAGAGAAACATCCTAGTAAATACTCATACATCTCTTAGTTTTTTTCTGGGTCTCAAAACTACAGTTAAGTTTGGAAAGGCTGTTTTTGAAAGTCACTTTACTGACAAGATCTGAAAGAACTGGTAAGGGACGTAAGAAAACTGGTATATCAAGTGTTCTTGCTAGTGATTGTTTAGGTACTTGAGGAATGCTAAATGCTTGTCATCATATCTCTGAAGATTGGTTACAGGGGTTATTTAGTGTAAAGAAAAGGGGCAAATTAATCAGAGGTACTGATGCTTTGTTTCCTAGAGATAGAACTCAAAGAGGTGAATTTAAATATCAGTTAGATTATGTCAGACCCAACAAACATCTTGATGGGAAATACTACTGAACATTTTGAAGAGATATCAGGTTATTTTAAATCAGTTTTCAGTGAGAGTAGTGTAGAGAACCACCATTTTGAATTGTTTGGCTGTAATCCCTGCCTGGGGTCAGAGACAGAGATCTTTGAAGTAGCATCCAGTTCTCAGCCTATAATGACTCTAAATACCATCTGATCATTTGTTTATTTTTTCACTGGTTATTTTGGAAGTGCTTTGAAAGTAAAATAAGGACTAGTGGGAATTAAAGATGCCCGACTTGAATGTTGTTTTCCACTCTTAAGAGACTGGGGTGAAATTGTCAAATGAATTCATGTGCTTTGAGAAGCTTTTATGACTTTTTAATGAGGTTTAAAAGCTAACGAAATGGGATTAAGATCATAAAATCTGTTACTCTTAATATTATTTCTTTGAGCTGATTTAGTACGTTTGTATATTAGAAGTAGAGATCTCATTTGGAGTGAATCCTCATTGTTTGCTAAAATATGGTCTGGAAAAAATTTTCTGGACAAACAGTATTAAATGGGGGTAATGACAAAGGACAGCTTTGCTCTAACTCTGCAGTTAAGCACTTCAGTTAGAAAAATTAGCATCATTTAATATATGGGAGTGCTTGAGACTTCATGTATCCTTAAATCCAGGTAATGTATATTTAAATAGTAAGTCTTAGTAGAAAATATTTAGTAGAAAAATGACTAGCTGAGAAAGTAAATTATATAGTGTGTGACTGAAAACATTACAGAAAACTATATTTGCATCCTTGTTCAAAAGATTATAATAGAACCAACCCAGTTATAATGCAGATATTGGGTTGAATTGGCGAAGAAAGCTAAATAGCTTTTTCTTCAGCTTTCGAGGGAACTGAAACTGTGCTGTAGTTAATTGGATTGACTGAGGCCATGTGGTGTGGTGTGAACAAAGCTTGGGATTTGAGTCTGAGGACCTAGGTTCCATTTGTAACTTTATTTCTTGCTTGTTTGGTCACCTTGGGCAAGGTAAATTCTTTGGGCCTGCCTTATTTTCCATGTTTATAAAATGTAAAGAATAATACTATTTATCTCAATGGGTTGTTGTAAGCATGAAACAAATTAATGTAAATGAAATATGCTTTGAAAGTAAAAAAGCAGATATTATGTTATTAATAGTAATAGATTTTTAGGTGCTCTCTTATTGACAAAGAACTCATCAAAGGAAATCTGAGTTAGATGATTGGAGGGAAAGTTTATAGTTTTTAAAAAGGCGAACAGGAAAAGTTATTTACAAATAATTTTCAGTTAGGATGAATACAGACAAACCTGTATTCATTGTAGTTCTCTGACAGATCAGTTCATAGTCATTTCTCATTATGCTTATTTTTAAATATTACTATCAGAGGTTTATGTCCCTCTTCTTTCATAAAGATACTGTTTTTAAAGTAGAAAATATATTTGTGATATTTAAGGAAACTGTGTTATAATAAGAAGTATTATGATGGCTGAGTAGCATTGTGGAATTATGCAAAAAATTCTTTTCTGGCATATTACAGATGCCGATGCTGTGGAAGAATATGTGAATTGTTTCACACGTCAGATGTCTTTATCTGATAAAAGCAGATGCACAATATAAGTGCAGTCATATATTATAGGCCTTTTTAAAAGGTTGCGAATTGTGAACGAGGAACTCATACCCCAGTGGTGCCATCTTATGAATTAGTGCGCAGCTAGGTGTTATACATACTAACTGTGCTTTCTATCCTGCAGAGCAATTTGATGCTGTATGGTGATTATTATAAAGCAGGCTTTGCACACGGCTTGCTAAACCCAAAGTACATTTCAGACATGCCCAACCTTTTGATTTTTCAAGTGACAAGGTCACAAGATTATTGCAAAAAATAACTTAAATACAATTTTGGGTCAGTACTCATGTGGATTTCAAGTACTTAATAAGTGGAGGAAAAAAGGATTATATCTTCAGGGCAAATATTAAAACCTTCTCAGCAACTTTTTTGATATTCCATAGGCGCTAAAAAATATAATTTTCATATTCAATTAAAAAAATATTCTAGAGTTTTGGAATTGTCTCACAGTGATATATATATGTGTAACTTATCAATATGTGTAATTTAACTATCACAAATTATTGAAGTAGATGCTGAGAATGGCTTTTATTAGCCTACAAAGTAAAAAAAAAAAAATCTAATATGAAGGGTAGCTGTATTTAATAACAACATCAGGAAATTTCAGCCATATTTTGGAGCTGTGTCTGAAAAGGTATATTAACTTTTGACTTTTTCTAATGAAATTGGTAGGATAAATTTTAGGAGTACTGAGACTTCTTATTTGAAGAGATGGTGGTTTTAAATAAGGGTGCAGAAATCTCATGGTTTGACAAGCTGTCTGTAATGCAAATAAGACCAACTGTGTGTGAGGGCTGAGTGAAAGAAATTAACATATATAGACTATTTGGAGAAAGCTAAGTGTTCATCTAAGTGCTGTACATACAGAAGTTTAAAATATGTTGTATTCAAATTTCTGTAGAAACTTCTCTGTAAATGAAAGGGAGTTCAGGGAGTGAGTATGATCTGATGTGCAGGCAGAGTTTTATATATACAGCTTTGCCAGAGTGTGCCCCAGTGTGAAAAGGAAACTGACCTGTGAAAGTCTATTCACTGTATCATGGCTTACTCCAGTTATTTTTGTTTGTTTGAATGACTGTAGCTATTTCAGGGTATTTATGCTTTCTTATAGAATGAAGACAAACACAGAGATGGTGTGTCTAAGAAACTTCAAAAGGTGTAGACCTCCTGATTGAAGAATAGCTGATTTATTTGATTCATTTTTTTCACTATAGTAAGTATGAATATTTAAAGTACATTGTGTGTGTTAATGCTTACTTGTATTCTTTTTTGAATAAATATTCACTCCCTGTCAAATGCCCTTATCATTGTTAGAGCTATTCATGTTTTCATTCTTCTTCAATTTCAGTTGCATGTCTTAAGTGAATTTAACTCTCAGGATCTTTAAGAGGATGAATAAAATCATAAATTTAGAACTGGAAGAGCCCTTAGAGATTATCCGGCTCACTCTCTTTGTCCATTACAAGAAACTCCTTTGCAACATCCCTGATGGATGGTCATTTTATTCATCTAGACCCTGCTAGGGACAGGGAGCTGAACTCTTTCATAGACAGCTAGTTCTAAATATTCCACCAACACATTCAATCATAACATGACTTTCTAAAATTGCCATCCACCTAGTTCTACCTCTGGAACAAATCCACTTATTCTTTCATCCATGAGGTTGTTGTGCAAAAATCTAAGGATGAATTATCACATTCCCCTAGTCATCTTTTATCTCAGTTGAGTATCCAATACCCTGTGTTCCTCTGTAGGAAATGGTTTGTAGACAATGGCTCCTGATTATTTTCTTGTCTATTTCATCTTTAACCTATAACTGAGCACTGGGTTCCAGATGTGATCTCACTAAGCAGGCACAGAAAGATGGTTGTCCCTTTATCTGGGTTCATCTATTAATATGGCCAAAAGTTATAATCACTATTTTAGCATAATAGCCATCACATGATTAGCTAAAAGTATGTGTACATATCAACTAAAATACATAGGGGTTTTTTTTTTTTTTTTTTCACATGTTCTTTCACTCAGGAATGTTTTCTGCTAAAATCCAGCATCCCCACCCCATCGTGTCTATGATATTTGGGGGTCTAAGTCCAGGACTTTATATTTGTCTTATGTAATCCTCTTATTTTTGGTTTTTGTCTCATCTTGTCACACAATTATGGTTAACTACAGGGGGGGCAAGGCAAAATGGGAGGAATTGAGAGTTAGAAATAGACCCACTAAACTAGTCCAGGAGAGAAACCCTGGGGAATTATATAGTAAAGCCTTGGGTCCTAGTTGATAATTGAATCCATATAATATGATGTCCAGAGAGGATACAGATAGTAAGTGGTGCTCCAGTCCAGCAGTTAAAATCAACGATCATGGGATGCCCTAACAAGTGGGAGAGCATGAAGGAATTGGGTTCAGGATCAGATGGTCAGGAATAGGTTGAGGATAACACTCAAAAGAGAAGATACTTATTAACAGGGAGCAGAGCCTCTGTGATGGGATTATAGGGTTCAAGGCAAGACACCAGTCTCCAGAAGGAGGACTAATGAGAGCAAAAAGGGTTCCTTAGGGGTGCTACCAGTACCGGGGTATCTAGAGAGAGAGACTCAGGCCCAGGAAAGAAGGTAGGACTTCAGACTCAGGAAAGTCCAGTAAGAGCCTTGGGCATACATGAGAGCTCAACTACCAGCAAAGGATGGCCAGGGCATCATTATTTTCTCCTCTTCTTTTTCTTATCGGATACTTTATGAGATCCAGATATTTCCTTTTATCTTACCCTGTGCTATCTTATAGGTGGTCTGGATTTTACTAATTAGCAATTTTTTAAACAATTGATGTTTGTAAGGCTAAACATAGAAATTCTCAGGAGTGTTGGCTGACTACTTTTGAATATGAAAATATAAAATTCATCTTGTTTTTCTGAAGGCAAAATTAATGAATAATAGAGTATGCCTTAATCATGCATTTCTTTAGCACTTTGCCATCACAACATTAAACATGAGAGGGAATCCCCATGATATTCTAAGAGGGTTTTTTTCCCTTTCCCTTGTTAAGGCACTACTGTTGTTTTCTAACTTAAATACTTGTAAGTTTTTAAATACCCATGTACTTAAATTATAAAGGAGAGCTTAAGAGGGAAAGGAGATTATGCATTCAGGGACAGTTTGTTCGGGGCATAAAATCAGTAGATTTCTCTAAGCCTAAGGAGTAATTTTATAAAGCAGAGCTTGCTCAAAAGAGTTTCCTGGTGGTGACTGAAACAACTCTTAGGCTGTAACCAGTGCTCCAGGCATGGGGCAGGACGTGGAAAGGAGCTTACTCAGACCTTTTGGAGGGTTTAAAATGTGACTGTTAAAAATTAATAGCATAAGAACAAGTTGTTCCAATGTCAGTTGAAGAAAAATTGGCTCCTGGTTTTTAGTAGCCCAGTCTGGAGTTGAAATCCAGAAAGAAACTAGATAATCGTCTCAAGAGCTATGACCAAATCTGTTTATAGATCCAGTTTGGCTATCAGCAAATCGTCCCCCATCTAAGGGACTTTACAGCGCAGAGCTGGGATGGCCTACAGTTTCAAATGAAAGCAGAAGACTCATGTGCCTAAAGATCAGCCCTGCCTTTTATGTTTTACTTCTGAGCTAAATTCTACTTGGGTAGGGTATGTATATATGAGGGGTCTTCGAAAAGCTCATGGAAGGGTTCATATTATCTTTTAATTCCATGTTTACATGAATGTTTTAAAGTACTCCTGTACAACCATTAGAGATAAATGCTGTTTAGGGTACTTGCTTCAGTGGTGTTTCTCTATTTTCCTCTTTCAGTTTCTGTACTCCTACAAGGAGAAGTCATGATTACACTAACAGAGCTAAAATGTTTAGCAGATGCCCAGTCATCTTATCACATCTTAAAACCATGGTGGGATGTCTTCTGGTATTACATCACTTTGATCATGCTGCTAGTGGCTGTGCTGGCTGGAGCTCTTCAGCTTACACAGAGCAGGGTTCTGTGCTGTCTTCCATGCAAAGTGGAATTCGACAATCACTGTGCTGTGCCTTGGGACATCCTGAAAGCCAGCGTGAACGCGTCCTCTAATACTGGGACACTGCTTCCACTCCCCCTCCGAATCCAGAATGACCTCCACCGACAGCAGTACTCCTACATTGATGCCGTCTGTTACGAGAAACAACTCCATTGGTTTGCAAAGTTTTTCCCCTACTTGGTGCTCTTGCACACGCTCATCTTTGCAGCCTGCAGCAACTTTTGGCTTCACTACCCCAGCACCAGTTCCAGGCTGGAGCATTTTGTGGCCATCCTTCACAAGTGCTTCGACTCCCCTTGGACCACCCGTGCCCTATCAGAAACAGTGGCTGAGCAGTCAGTGCGGCCCCGGAAACTCTCCAAGTCCAAGACTTTGCTTTCGTCCTCAGGGTGTTCAGCTGAAATTGATTCCAACAAGCAGTCATTGCCCTACCCGCAGCCAGGTCTGGAGTCAGCTGGCATAGAAAGCCCAACTTCTAGCGTCCTTGACAAGAAGGAGGGTGAACAGGCCAAAGCCATCTTTGAAAAAGTGAAAAGATTCCGCATGCATGTGGAGCAGAAGGACATCATTTATAGGGTGTATCTGAAGCAGATAATAGTCAAAGTCATTTTGTTTGTCCTCATCATAACTTATGTTCCTTATTTTTTAACCTTCATCACTCTTGAAATCGACTGTTCGATTGATGTACAGGCTTTTACAGGATATAAGCGCTACCAGTGTGTCTATTCCTTGGCAGAAATATTTAAGGTCCTGGCTTCATTCTATGTCATTTTGGTTATACTTTACGGTCTCACCTCCTCCTATAGCTTGTGGTGGATGCTGAGGAGTTCCCTGAAGCAATATTCCTTTGAGGCATTAAGAGAAAAAAGCAACTACAGTGATATCCCTGACGTCAAGAATGACTTTGCCTTCATCCTTCATCTGGCTGATCAGTATGATCCTCTTTATTCTAAACGCTTCTCCATATTCCTGTCAGAGGTCAGTGAGAACAAACTGAAACAGATCAACCTCAATAATGAATGGACGGTTGAGAAACTGAAAAGTAAGCTTGTGAAAAATTCCCAGGACAAGATAGAGCTGCATCTTTTCATGCTCAGCGGTCTTCCAGACAATGTCTTTGAGTTAACTGAGATGGAAGTGCTAAGCCTGGAGCTTATCCCAGAGGTCAAACTGCCCTGCACAGTCTCGCAGCTGGCCAACCTCAGGGAGCTCCATGTGTACCACTCGTCTCTGGTGGTAGACCACCCTGCACTGGCCTTCCTAGAAGAGAACTTAAAAATCCTTCGCCTGAAATTTACTGAAATGGGGAAAATCCCACGCTGGGTATTTCACCTGAAGAATCTCAAGGAACTTTATCTGTCGGGCTGTGTTCTACCTGAGCAGTTGAGTACCATGCAGTTGGAAGGCTTTCAGGACTTAAAAAACCTGAGGACCCTCTACCTGAAGAGCAGCCTGTCCCGGATCCCACAAGTCATTACAGACCTCCTGCCTTCACTACAGAAATTGTCCCTTGATAACGAGGGAAGCAAACTGGTTGTGTTGAACAACTTGAAAAAGATGGTCAATCTGAAAAGCCTAGAATTGATCAGCTGTGACCTGGAACGCATTCCACACTCCATTTTCAGCCTGAACAATTTGCATGAGTTAGACTTAAAGGAAAATAACCTTAAAACTGTGGAAGAGATCATTAGCTTTCAGCATCTTCAAAATCTTTCCTGCTTAAAGTTGTGGCACAATAACATTGCCTATATTCCTGCCCAGATTGGAGCATTATCTAACCTAGAGCAGCTCTCTTTAGACCATAATAATATTGAGAATCTGCCCTTGCAGCTTTTTCTATGCACCAAACTACACTATTTGGATCTAAGCTATAACCACCTGACCTTCATTCCAGAAGAAATCCAGTATCTGAGTAATTTGCAGTACTTCGCTGTGACCAACAACAATGTAAGTAAATGCATTCTTCCCTTTATTCAGCCAGTCCTTTGATTATCAGCTGTGCTTACAGTGTGTAACGTAGGGAAAGAAAGTGGACTTTAAGTCATACCAAGCATTCTGTGAGCCAAGCCCAATCCCGTGTGATCTTGGACAAATTACCAAAACACTAAACATCCGTTTTTAATCTAACTTACAAGCTGTCATGGAATTTTATGAAAAAATATATAAGCATTTGGCACAGGTCCTAGCACATAATAGTTGCTCAACAAATGTTCCCTTTCTTTCCCTATTTCCTACGTAAACATAACAAAGTGTTTAAAACTAATTAATTGGTTATGGTAGAACTTAGTTTTTGTTTTGGAAAGTTTTTAAGTACTTCGAAAGTTTGGTAAAACTTTTCAGCTTTCAGAATCTGTCAGAATAGAATAATGTTTTGTTTAAATGTTGAGATTGTGAATTATTCATAAATCCTTTTTGTGATGCAGTAAAAAAAGACTTGAAATCTGCATGCATGTTTAGAAAGACAATTCAAGATGAAAGGCCTGCCTCTATAATGCAACACTAGGGCTTCTTAGAAGCTTTTTCCAGCATCCATGCTTAAAAATGAACCATAATTTGCAACAGTAAAGCCAAGTTAAGGAAAACTTAACTTCACTGAAACATGAAAAAAGAAAATAAATGAGTAGTTTCCTAGGTTAAAATGTGAAGGAGGAGGAAAAAGAAAAAGAAAAAATCCATGCTAGTCTGACGGGCAAGAGAATGAGGGTGATGTCCATATGGGAAGAAGTGGGGAGAAAACTGTCAGAAATCAGGTCTGCCAAGGGATGAAACCGATCTTCCTCTACTTGAAAATGCTGTTTTCTTCTACCCCACCTTAAAATGCATTATCTTGTACACTTTCTGTAATTCATATTTCATGCTAAATATAGCTATGAGGGTATTGGCTAATAAACATATTAATCATCAGACATTATTTTTGAAAACCATGGATGTTAGAGAAATACCATGAAATTGGGGGGTGAGAGCAAAATTCATGCTCATTGTATAACTCTAAGACTTTACTCATGTATAAAAGAGAGCTCATTCTAAGATAAGTGAGAAATCTCCAGGTCTTAAAGGATTAAGAGGTTTTAAAACTACTTTAGGATCAATCTAGGCTTACCTGAATGGCTTGTTAAAACACAGACTTTGGCTCCCGCCCGAGGGTTCGGATCCCACATACAGACCGGTTCCCGCTCACTGGCTGAGCGAGGCGCGGGGGCAACGCCGAGGGTTGCAATCCCGTTGCTGGTCCCCGGTCCGGTACGGGGGCAACACTGAGGGTTGCGGTCCGTTTCTGGACCCGGAAAAAAAACAAAAGAAAAAAAAAAAAAAACACAGACTTTGGCTCCCGGCCGAGGGTTCGGATCCCACATACAGACCGGTTCCCGCTCACTGGCTGAGCGCGGCGCGGGGGCAACGCCGAGGGTTGCAATCCCGTTGCTGGTCCCCGGTCCGGTACGGGGGCAACACTGAGGGTTGGGATCCGTTGCCGGACACGGAAAAAAAAAAAAAAAAAAAAAAAAAAAAAAAAAAAAAAAAAAAACACAGACTTTGGGCCCGCCTCCCAGGGATTCTGATTCAGCAGGTTGGGTGTAAAACTCAGGAGTTTGCATTTCTAAAAAGTCCCCAAGTGAAGCTGATGATACTGGCCTAGTGACCATGCTTTGAAAACCACAGGTCTAGGGCCGGCCCGTGGCTCACTTGGGAAAGGGTGGTGCTGATAACACCAAGGCCATGGGTTCGGATCCTATATAGGGATGGTCGTCTTGCTCACTGGCTGAGCGTGGTGCTGACAACACCAAGCCAAGGGTTAAGATCCCCTTACCGGTCATCTTAAAAAAAAAACCAAAAAAAAAAAAACACAGGTCTAAAGGTTTATCATTAGTACCATTTAACTATGTAGTTGATTAAAACTAATATTTTGGTCATTTTTTTTCCCATGTTAAATCTGTAATAAACACTGTACATAATTACTTTGAAAGGCATTGATTCCACTAAGCTGTTATACACTTAAATCAAAACATGAATTTTTGAAAGCTGCAGCAGATTGAATTGTTACCAGGTCATATGTTATTTAAATGTATGAGCAGGTTAATGTTTTGCTAGATTAATGTGATCAAACCTTAAGATTATTGGTACTTTGGACACCAAGTTTATTGACTTCTTGACCATATCTGAAAGAGAGGCCAGTGAATATCAGACACATCCTCTCTTATACTTTGTAGTACATGAAAAGTCTTATGCTGAAGGTGCTTTGTGGCCAGAGTAGAATGGTGTCTTAGAGTGGGTTTGTCTCAGAAACCTAAGAAAAAGTTGCTGAGCATCCTTAGAGCAAAATTGGTAAACATGACACCTTTACAGGGGTAAGGAACTTAGGGGCAAAAAAGTTCTGTGAAGAGTCTATTTAACAACAATATGAAGAAAATGGCACTGACTCAGAAGACAGCCACTAGGGAGATGAAAACTTCCTCTGTGATGGAACAGTTTAGCCTTGTGATGGGAAGTGTGGGGGTGGGGAGGGTGCAGAGATAGTCCACAATACTGGTCTTCAGATGTCTGGAAGATTTATATGGAGAACAAAGCTTTTTGGGAATAGTCACAAGTGTTAGAACTAGGACAAGCAGAGGAAGGTTTCACATCTTTTCCTTATAGCTGTCCGAAGATTTGAATGAGCGTTTGAGGAGAGAGAAGCTATTTTCTTATTAATAAAACTGTTCAGACACAGATTGCCAACCACTCAGAGTGGGGGGATGTTGTTAAAAGGATTTGGGGAATTCATGTTTCATGTGAGGATTTAACTAATTTCAGGGTTTCTTCTAAACTTGCAATTCTCATGATTCTATGAAGTAGGCCAAAATATTTATAAAAATTAGAAAATAAAACATCACATTGGATGCATAAATATTTAGATATGCATACACTCAGAAACCTGAGCCAATTAGTCCATTTGGAATGGTGTTTGGTAAAGCTTCCTAAAAAAAAGTTTTAAACTTCTGTTCTAGGCTTGGGCAGTGTATCAGATTTGCAGATGGAGGCAACAAATACTAGCTCTTGAGTTAAGCAGAAAAGACATTTATTGAAAGGATGTTGGGTATCTCATGTTACCGCTGAAAAGGCTGCAAAACCAAGCTTGGAAAACAGTCAAGCACAAAGTGAGTCAGAGGACCACAGCCAGAATCATAGCACAAAAGCAAAATAGCGAGCATACCCTGATCATACCAGCGGTGGGCAACAGTTCTGCCCCAAAAACTTGATGCTGTAGCTCCTGCAGCCCTCGTCCTCCCACCACATAGGTTCTTTGTGGTTTCCACTTCTTTGTGACATTAGCTCCAATTCTGAGCACCTGATTGGCACAGCTTATGAATGCCCACACTCTAGGGAGCTGGGGACACTAGAATCTGGTGGTGTTAGTTTCTCCAGTAAGAAGTTAGCTCTGGGCCGGCCCAGTGGCGCACTCGGTAGAGTGCGGCGGCGCTCCCGCCGAGGGTTCGGATCCCATATAGAGACTGGTCCGCTCACTGGTTGAGTGCGGTGCGGGCGCGACACCGAGGGTTGCGATCCCGTTACTGGTCACGAAAAAAGACAAAAAAAAGAAGTGAGCTCTGCTTCCCAAGAGTCATATGGTAGGGAATGCCTTAGACATAGGAGAGTGTTGGCAGTCCTGCAGGTGACAGGCATTCACTGAGAGGGCACTCCAGAGTTTTTTTCACAGAATGGTTATAGGTGTTATCACAAAAAAACGTTAAATAAATGTTTCTTTTAATCGTATTTTTGCTGCAAGATTCCTCAGAGCCTTTAACATCATGAATATGCATTGTGCTTCTCAAAGAGGGTGATATGGCATGCTATATTTGCCAAACGTGTTTGAGCAAGCCACCTTTTTTTCCCCTAGTAACTCATGAGAGGAATGTTCCATGTAACACACCCTGAGAACACTGGATTAGGGAAATGTAAAATAATAGAGGCCACTCACAGAGGATTACAGTAAGCATGCCCAGATGCAATAGGAGATGAGAGCATTTAGTAAGGTGGGTCAGAATGGGGAGTGCCTGGAAGTCTGCCAGTCAAGTTCATGTTTTATTCATTGGATAGTGACTAGGGTGAGACTTGAGCTTGCAAGTGCTAGTTAGCCTGAACTGGTACCTTCAAAGGAGACCCTGACTATAGCGCATAGAAGGGTTGGGAGAGGACACCCAAGAAACACAACCCCGTGGGAGGTTTAATAAGTTATAATTTGGAAGTAGGAATATAGATTTAAAACAAGAGGCAAAGACTTTTATATCTGAAAGGAATACTATGGATCATGTAGTCCAAGGGTCGGCAAATATGGCCTGAGGTCAAGTCTACCCACAGCCTGTTTTTATAAGGCTCAAGAATAGTTTTTACATTTGTAAATTGTTGGGGGGAAAGATCAAAATAATATTTTATGACACATAAAAAATGAGATGAAATTCAAATTCCAGTGCCCATGAATAAATTCCATACTTAATTGTTATATTTTGAATTTCATCATTTAAAAGTGTATGGAATTTTTTTCTCTTGCTATATAAGTACCTATATGCTATTTTCAGTTTTGCCTATGGGCCCACAAAGCCTTAAATATTTACTTTTCCAGTCCTTTAGAGAGAAACTTTACCAACCCCTACTCTGGGCCACCAATACTAAAACTGAGGCTCCGAGTAACTCACCTAAGGTCTGAAGCTTCCTGGTGACAGAGCTAGGATGGAACCCAGGTGTTCCGACTCTTACCCTACTGCTGTTTCTGTTACATCTCAGATGCACCAATCCAAGAGACATTACGTAGGAAACAGTAGTGTGTGTGGACGGGTGTGGAAAGTGTGAGAAGAAGCAGGATCCATCTCCATCCCAGTGCCAACAGGGATTGGGGTATGATGGCAGGGACTGTGTTGGAGAAGTAGAAGGTATGGGAAAAGGTTTAAGTAGGTTTTCTCAAATCTTGCAAACAATTCCAGTTTACACCCAGGGCTTGCAAGTTCTTCACTTATTCCTTTTTAACTGAAAAGACTTTAGCCAGCAGATGAATAATGTAGAAATTCTTTCTGAAGATCATTTGTGTGACAGTGCTTGTTGTTTTTGACATCACTACTTAGAAATGGAAATGTTCAGCTTTGTCTTTTGAAATGATCGGACTTTATGGGTTTGGTTAGCATGTCCTCAGATAGCATGTGTCACTGGCCAGGAAAAAAAGGAAACCTGACATTGAGAAGGATTCTGAAATAATCCTTCAGCCTCTGGGCAACAGTGGGGTTTTTAACTGTCAGTGTCAACAACAGATAAAGAGAGCCATCCTGTTCTGGGGCCTCCAACCCATTTTGCTGAAGACATTTGGCTGACAGAGAATTCTAGGATATAGAGTGATAATGTAACCTTTAGTTTTCTCATATATTTTTTCAGTTTATTTAATAGTTTATTATAACTTGTATTATATATGTATATTTCAAATGTTACAGTTTATCCTATAAAACCATTCTGTTTTTGAAGTTTATCATCTCCCTAATAGTCTGTAGACTTTTCATTTGGTTTTTGAAATCAGTGGTCCACCAGAGCAATTTTTTTCCACTCTGGCTCATGTGTGATACAGTCTAAAAAAGGGCATGCTGAAAGAATTAGGTATAAATAAATGTTATTGAACTTTTTTTTTTTTTTTTTGTCTTTTGTCTTTTTCCGTGTCCGGCAACAGATCGCAACCCTCAGTGTTGCCCCCGCACCGGACCAGGGACCGGCAACGGGATCGCAACCCTCGGTGCCGCTCCCGCGCCTCGCTCAGCCAGTGAGTGGGAACCGGTCTGTATGTGGGATCCGAACCCTCGGGCAGGAGCGCCGCCGCGCTTCCCGAGCGGCGCACTTATCCAGTGCGCCACTGGGCCGGCCCTTATCGAACATTTTTATAAAATTTATTGGCCCAGGCAAAATGTGTTTGGTGTTCTTGTAAACTTAAAAACAAACTATTTTTAAAGTTGTAAGTGGATTTTTCAGGATAAAATTGCTGTTAAAGACTTGAGTCTCTAACAAATCTCCCCAGCCTCCATTAGGAAAATTGGATTAGAGTAGGTAAGTTAAGGTCCTGTGCCTGAGGCTCTGATGTGGAGGGAAAACCCTTGAGATGGACCCTTGGCACACAGGAGGGGTGACTGCCTTGTCTCACTCTCACAGCAGCAGTGTGCAGGGCATCTGGCTGAAGGGCAGGCCCAGACACTCACTCCCACTGCTTTATGAAATCCCTCTCCTCTGGGGGAAGCTGAGAAATCTGCTAAAATCACAGATTCAGAGATTTGAAAGAAGATTCCTGAGAACATGGTAGTGCTGATAGCCAGACAAGAGAGTGAGGGCAGTGGCTTCCCGGTAGTCACCTGCAGGAAATCAGTCCAATTAATAAGCAAGGCACTTGCCTGGAATCTGAAACTGGCTGAGAAGGGGAACGTGAGGTTCTCTGATGCAGCTCAGGTTAGGGCACTGTTCATCATACCACCTATTACAGACTAATTATTTGTGTAATTGTTTCTCTCTTCATCAGACCTGTGCTGCTCAGCTGGGGGTGACTTTGCCCTCCAGGAGACATTTGTCTGCAGACATTTTTGGTTGTCACAACTGGGGTGGGGAGTGGCACTGGCAGCCAGTGGGTCGAGGCCAAGATCTTACAACACACAGGACAGCCCCCACAACAAAAATTATCCCACCCAAAATGTTAACAGTGCCAAGGTTGAGGTGTTTGTGGTAGCTGGGATTAAAGTTCGTAACAGTCCTTTATCTGGCTCAGCACTTTATCCCCAACACCTACCTGGGAGCCTGGCACATAAGAAGGCTCTCAGCACATGATTACTGAATCCAAGTGAGCCAAGCCTTCCTTCTTTGCAGCTGGTTTGCCTAAGTCATTGCTCAGGCACCAGCAGGCCCTCTCATCCCTGAGCACTATGCAGACTGGTTTGTTCCTCCACTCCTACCCCACTGATCCTCCTCCTGAACCACAGAGGTCTCTGTGTTGAAGGGGTTGCTTTGAAAAGGGATTACAGTTCTTCTGTCTCATCTCTCATGCACATGAAGTCTATATATGTATGGGTTTGTCTGCATTTGCTCTTGAGAAGGGAGTGAAATAGAGGGGTAGATATTTTTCCTTTGCTTATACCTAGTGTTGTGGTGTAAAATAATGATCTATGTTGAATATTGGTCTTAGCAAGAATGATGATTAGATTTATTTTCAAGGATATTCAACACAATGTGTGTGTGTTGTTGCGGGGGTGTGCATAAGAAAGGGGACTTGTTCCAACATAATAAGTATTTTTAATATAATTTGGTCAATTTTTAGTTTATGTAAGGAATATTTATCTTTGAGGAGAGACAGTCGGGATGGCCCTGGGAGCTCCTCTCCTAGCAGAGCTGGCTCAGGGGTCTGTGTTAGCCCATCAGAGGACGTAGGGCAAGTCCCCGATTGCCCCTTTCATTTTTGTTTCTAACAAAGCCACTTTCTGAACCAAGGAGCCTTCATTATATCCTAGTGATATCCCCTGTCCCCGGCCAATATAGAGAGTATTACAGGGTGGTGTGTGTGCAGTCCTTAGTGAAGGGATGAGTTGAAGGAATTGTGTATGCTCAACTTCTCTGGAGGTCTTTCTCCAACAAACCTTATTTCAGGTATACACTGTGGCTGTCATAGAAATTCACATACAACCTACCCACCATACAGGGGAGCAGTCAGGTTGAGCAGCTGTAGAAGTTAACCTAATTTGCGGGCTATTTATCATATTTAAAATTATTTCTCTGTGTTATATGAATTATTTAATCAAATCTATGCCAGAGAGAATAAAGAAAGGTAAATTCTCAGGTATGTGTGTATGTAGAGGTGAATGAATATACATGTATAAAATGCAATATCTTTTTGTCTCTTCTTCTGTAGACTTTTTAAAAACCTGAATAAAATTTTCAGTCTGTACTGAGAAACAGTATAAGAAATAACCTTGTGTCTGTTCTCAGGATGTTTTTAAGGATGTTGCTTATTACATTACACAGTAAACTTTTTATGAGGCCTCTTGAGAGTAATTTGTTTCTGATCTAAGACTCAAGAATGATTATGATTCTCCTAAGTTACTGGTTTGTTTTTTATCCCAGGGACGATGAGTATATAACTACGTTTTTCTATAGAAATTGCTTCTTAGAGTGTTTAGAGCCAAATGTATTGCCCTCCACATGCAGGAAGGGTTCAGATGTTCATGGTAACCTCAGGCCTGACTCCATGTGATACTCCTACCCTTATTTTTCCTTTGTCTTTTTCATCTACTTCAAATTTATCATCATTGTTAAATGTATCCCTATAAACCTCCAGAAATGTTTTTGAAAAAAGGAGCTAGCATTAGAAATAAGTAAACATATTATCACAGGATATCAAAAACTGTTTTACCAGCTTCTTTTTTCTCCCTTTCCAGATTGAGATGCTACCAGATGGGCTATTTCAGTGCAAAAAGCTGCAGTGTTTACTTTTGGGGAAAAATAGCCTGATGAATCTGTCCCCTCTTGTGGGTGAGCTGTCGAACCTTACACATCTGGAGCTCATTGGTAATTACCTGGAAACACTTCCTCCTGAACTGGAAGGATGTCAGTCTCTAAAACGGAGCTGTCTGATTGTCGAGGAGAATTTGCTCAGTACTCTTCCTCTCCCTGTAACAGAGCGTTTGCAGACATGTTTAGATAAATGCTGACCTAAAGAGAAGAGACCCATGTCTCAAAATTATTTTTTAAAGTATGCCCCAGGGCTTTGAGAAGTAAAATGTTCTAAGTTATAAAGGTGAAAAATGGGTGATTATTATGTTGAACCATAACCAAATGTCATATTAAAGCAACTTATGTCTTAGCCCTAAATTAAACTGGTAAAAAATGTTGACACTGAACTGAATGAAGTTTTGTGAATAACTAAGTTATTGAGATGTTGTAAGAAGTACACGTCAAGCGTGGAGTGGAGGGCATGAACTTACTGAAGCCCTACCTTTGCAGTTTTTACCTTGCATACTATATAGGTATTCTTTCCTCTTCCTCCCCCAGTCCCCATTACTTATTTGCACACTTGTTTTAACTCACTTCCTGTTTTGAAATTTATCGAGACCATAAAACTCATCAATGTAAATTTCCTTGATGTATACTCACCACTGTCTTTGATTTATGTTCTTAAATTTTCCTAGGCAGGGTGTATTGTGCTTGGCAGAATTCCTTTTTGGCTTAATTTTTACTTCCTTTCCCAGCTTGCTTGAGTCTTCTTTAATCTGGTTTTCTATTAAAAACAATGACGAACCCTGAGAAAATGCCTGCCTTTGTCCTTTGCCTAGAACAGGAGCAGGGTACTTAAGATGTGCTATCCTTGGGGCATCCTGAAAATTAATGTATTCTCTAAAATTTCTTCTTGTCTATCAGCAAAGCCTTTTTTTATTGGTTAAGAATTTTTATATTAAATGAAAAACATAAGACAAATATTTTTTATTGTGTAATCTTGGATTCAACGTCTGTGAGAATAATTTTTGTAAGGTACAGAGAATACGCACATTTCTTTTAGAAATCTACTTGGTTTTGGCTATTTATAATTCTCATGTTTGTGTGCATTCTGCTCCAAAATGTTTTTGAACTTTGCAACTAATTACTTTTGGATAACAGAACCTTGTGTTTCATGCTCTAAAGTATTTGGGGGTTTCCTTGTGAGTGGATGGCTGTATCGTCTACCTCTCTCTTCCCTGGTCTTTGTGCAATTGTACAGGTACAATTCCTAATTACTAATAACTGATGGCAGGGAGAGGTAAGATTTGGATTTTAAAATTGATATTAAAGTACTTTGTAGAAATTTAGTAAGAGTTAGGGCAAAATGTTTTTCCTCCATCTGCATGTTCTCCAGATATGATTATAATGTAAAACACTCAGCCTCTATTCAGTGTCTACAATGAGTTCTCAAAGCTCACAAAGAAATAGATCCATTTAACTGAAATTCATCTCATGCCTTTATCTACTCTTCTGGAATACATTTTGCTCCTATTTATAAAGAGCTTTGTGTTTGGCCTTTTATTATCATGCATATTGTTAAATGAATAAAATCAACTGACTCATTTTGGGGAAATGTACATTTTTAATGTGTTTAATGGCTCTAGGCATTATTATGCCACCTCATTTTGGATGTTACTATGAAGTAATCTATTAATTGCACCTAGACAAAACTAGAAAACACTATGGGTAAAGAGTACTATAAACATGTAATTGTGGTGTATGATGTATATATTTTCTTGTTTTGTTCCAAAAGATGAAAGTGTGTCTTTGAAGTGTAGCAGCAAATGTAGCTTCTCTTTTCTGCCACACACCCCTGGACTGAAGTTCACAGAAAATAATTATTCACATCAAATGAAATTTGAGTATTAGCTATAAAGAATATAGAACACCAAATGCTGCCTAACACATTATTGTTTATTCTGAGTAGGAAGGAACAATATAAAAATATACTTCTTACCAAAATTTGCCTTCAGTCAGAACATTCAAGTTCTCAGGGAACCAGGCATAACTGATGAATCTTTCTTCTAGGACTTCAGAAAACAGATTCTGATTTTATCCAGGTTTATTTAGTTATTTTCATTTTTTAAATGTGAGTTGATGGTTACTTTAGTGTTTTACAATAAAATTGTCACATGTACTGATTCCAGTGTTGGGTAGAATTATCTAAACTTTTGGATGTGAATGTGATACATGGAGAAGTGTGTAAATGTTTTTGGCCACATCATGAGCCATAATCTGTATGAAAAATCCCACCCTCTCATATATGAAGAATTAGAAAAAAAAAAAAAAATGAGGTTTGCTACCATTTAACTGACAAACTAGAACCTGTCCGTGGCTAGTGACTGGTTGAGTTCAACTGCAGAAGTCATCTGCTAAATCTTCCTTATCACCAACATCAGTTTCTGGAAGCAATTTACTAGCAGGATCAATAATGAATATTGTGAAGATTGTGAGCTGCTTTCCTTATATTCAGTTACTGGTGCAAACTGTGTTGCTCTTACTGCCATAGTTTAGTTTTTTTTTTGGTTTTGGTTTTTTGGTTTTTCGGCTTTTTTCCCATTTAAATCATATACACCAGTGTTTAGGTAGCTTTTGAAACAATGTAACACTGATGTGATGCACAAGGAGACTGACGTACAGAAATGTGGTGTTAATACCACCTTCACTGCACTGTTGAGCAAATATTTATTTTACAAGTGTTCATATTCATTTAAGGGAATTTTAAATGAAAATGATTTAAATTATTCTTATGAGACTTTAGTTGGCATCTGATTTCCAAGAATGTATATGCATTTTCCAAAAAATAAATATGGAGGTTTTCAGAACAAAGATTATGGCTTATTTCAGAACAAAGTTTATGGCTTGGTTCATTTTATTTGCACACACACAAAGACACAGATAGACACAGACACACATAGAGATGCACATACCCCATGTGTGCAAATTGTAACTTAGTTTTTGATACTTTTTCCAAATTTTTTAGTATTTTTTCCAAGATTGCAAGAGGTTATAGGTTAATACTAGGATAGCAACTTTTTAAATTCATCATTTGTAATCATTGAATGTTCTTTTCCTAACCTGTGTTAGGGTACATCTGTGTGAAACATAGATACCATATTTTCATTCCTCACCTTCAGTGTTATATTTTTCCCTGTATGCCATTATACTTCACTGTCAGACTTAAACATTTACATTAAACAGGTTAAGTAGAGATCCTCAGGGTCTCAGTGCTGTGGCCTAGCTCCTACAGGTGTGCTGTGGTGTGTGGCAGTGACCTATTTGCATAATGTTATTGTTTCATAGTGAAAATACTTGTTTCTGCTCTTCAAGTGTTTTGTGATTCAAATTTTATATGTTTAATTAAAATATTGCATAATATTGATGGGTTCAGAAACCATTAAAATAATCAAACAATTATTCTGTGGACTTAACATGATTTCTTTGTTTTCAATAAAATTTTCTTTTCATCTTTCCACCTTACCATCCTCTTAGCATTGTCCTATTCACATAAGGCATTTTGTTTTCCTTCTCCACTCACCCACTCCATTAAATTTGATCAGCACTTGTGTAGTAACAGAGTATATTTGTGCTAGAAAATTTGCAGTGATACATGAGCATGTTTTTATTTGGGGGGAAGCCAGTGCCTATAATTATGCCTAACTGAGTGGTTCTACTCTATCCATCCTTGCAGTGTTTAGAGCTGATCCTATGATCCTTCATCCCTACCAAAAGTATGAGAATATAACTGTAGGTCTCCTTTGTTTTCAGTAATTGTACATTGCATCAGAATCTGTGTTTATTTCTATCTGGAAACAAGAGGAAGATTGGTGGGAATGGGGAAGAGTTATTTTGTATCCTGGTTTGTTATGAAGACATTATATATATGAAATGGGATAAACTAATAACTGTTGCAAAATGCCCTAGATATAATTATTTCTTTTCTTCAGCTGGATGTGAAAAGCTGAAGCAGTGAAAAAACTGCAGTCCCATTTAATTGGTTTCTTCCTGTTTCTTGTCCGTCACTTCTATATCCACTGGGAGCTATCTGCTAATTACCTTTGGTAATGGATTACATTTTCTTCCACTTCTCTTATATGAACAATTTCATTAACACTGAAGTATTAGCATAGAATATAAGAGACAAAGTACTGAGCTGAGATGGCATCTAGTTGAACATCATTTCATATTTAAGTTTTTCATTTGACTTGTATAAAACACTACTGCTGAGAAAAACAATTATGAATGCCTTCTGCATGCTGTACATTTTCTCTAACAGAGATGGTACAATTTTTAAAATACAAAGGGTTATAGAGTTAGAATGGATGTGTTTGTGCATATATATGTTGTGTATAAGCCTAAATATTAACATTTATGAGAAGCTTTTAAAAATTCTTCAAATGTTTTGATCTCAGTGAAATAATGGGCCAATACTCAGTAGAGACATTTTCTTTTGTTACCTCACAGTGAAGGCTGGTGTTTGTTATTTTATCTTTGTTAAATATATTTAACAAGAAATACATATTGTCAATTTTTGCTACTGGCAATGCATTATTAGAAAATGTAAGTTTTTGGTTGTGGCCCTCAGGTTTACCATGTAAATCTGCATTTTGGTGGTAAATCCCTTTGCCTCAGATTCAGTAACTTTTGGTAAACTTTACTGTTTTTTTGTGTAAAATAAAGATTAAATTTTTATAATAAATGATGAATAAAAACAGATTAAATGCTGGAAGTTGACTGTACTAATTTTTACCTGTGTTCACTCAACAGTGCCCAGGTTCCAAAAGTACTTCCCTTCCTCTCCCCATGCGACCTTGTGCCATTGTGCTATTAGGTTATTAACAAATGACAGATTTTAGATTTACATGTGAATCTCATAACAGTAGTATGAGTTTTCAAAAAATGCTACAATGGTCACAAAAAAGCACCTGAAAAGAGCTGGATTGATCCTAGAATACACTGCGAGGTTTGGGGAGCGAGGGGAATTTGTCATGAGGAGCGCATCTGTCCAATAGTGTTCCTCGGAATTATTCAGGGACAAAAGTTCACAAACCAACTCATCTCTCACCCTCCCACCTTCTTGGCACCTGTTTCTTCATTTACCGTTAGTTTAACACTAACACTGAGTTGTGGAACAGATAGAACTAAAGAACTGACAGGAAATTCTGAGAAGGTTTAGTAAAGGGAGAAAAAATTGAATTATGGGTACAATATGCAAATAATAGTTTGACATTTTGGATCTATCTCACTCTCCCTCACCTCACCTCCCTCCCTCTCTCTCTCTCTCTCTCTCTCTCTCTCTCTCTCTCTCTCTCTCTCTC